CAAAAAATATAGGATTTTTTAAAAAAATCTTTAATATCCAATATCTCCATAACGGTTAAGTTTTGGACACCATATTATAGGACCAAATCCATCAGAAATGACCTGAATAATAATGTCCTTCAATATTCAGTACGACTTTCCCTGTAACCCTGTATATAGTTATGTCTGTTTAATAGTACAGGGATATTGGGTGGGCTGTAATCATTTGCGCGTACTTGTGATTTGTAAAATATGTGTATAGTGTTGTCGAAGAACAAAGTGTTGCGGTGATATCGCTTATAAAAAAATAATATGAGTTTGTTGTAAGTTAAGTACCCCAAGTTAAGTCAACTAATAGCTTTAAAGTATTTTTATTTATAAAGAAAATTATAATTGTGTTTTTATTTGTAAATATCATTGTTATCATGGAACAGATATATGTAGATTTAATTCTTTGAAAAATCCTTTGTGAATTATTATAATATGGTAGGTATATAGATAAATATATGTAAGTAGTACTAAAGTTTTTAATATTTTTAATTTGTGTGCAATTTTTAGTGTGTGTAGTAGTGTGTATAGAGTTATGTGTGTTTGAAAGAGTATGTGTATTAGGTGAGTGGTATATATATGCTTATGTGTATTTCTAGTGCAATAAATGTTTTGTTTTTCTGTAGCCGCTTTGTTATTAAAATAAATTTAAAAGAGAACAAAAATATTTTGACTCTTAAAGTAATAAGACAATAACATAGTCTATAAAACGTTAACAAATTACAATAATCAATCATATACTCTGAATTTACCTCAATTTTTATGTAATGTTTAACTTAGGTATGGATTACTACTTATCATAGTTTTAATTAAGATATCAAGCTTACAATATACAATACTAATAGTAATTAAGTTGTATAAGGTTGCCAAACAGACCCTATTCTTAGAATAGAGAGAGTTAACAAATAGCAGAGTAAACAATAGGTGTATTTTAGTTATAAAAGCTAGACAGCCAGCCTGAAAGAGAAGATGGACCTGGGCTTCCGATTTAATAGAAATGATTGGAGAGTTGTCCGTTTTGCGGACATACACTCTGCCATAAGCGGTCCAGCAATATTTGTATGATTTGGATTTGGCTAGATCCCGCGCGAGAAAATACAATCGTGAACCTCTAGCTGTAAGTTGTTCGGACACATAAATGGGTGTGTCTTCCTGGACTCGAAAGCCCAAGTGTTTTGCACATAGTTTAGACTTAGTTTTAGTATTGATGGTTTTACATAATTTGATCATATTAGTCTTAATTAGGGTAGACGTTGTTTCAACAATAATAGTTGCATTTTTTTCCACCTTCTTTCCGTAGATCCTGTAAATGTCTTTAATATCGTGTTTATTTAGATTACCGCCAATGCATGTAGATAGGGCCAGAACCAATCAATCAGGTCCTCCTTTGTCTCGTTTGTTTTTTAGGAACGTTTTTTATTTCCAAATTAGATTTGCGCCAAGCCATTTGTAGAATTTCAAGTTTATCTTCCAGTAACGTTATGTGTTCTCGATTTTCTTTATGTTGTTGTTCTAAGTCCACTATCTTATTTGACAGTTCTATATTTTGACGTTAACAAAGCAATTGTATTTTCAATATTTGTATTTGTTTGTTCAATTTTTTTCAAAGTTGGAGAAATGTTTTTAGGTTCCTCTTGTTGTGCCAAAAAAATGTTTTAATCATTTCTTTTATTTCCGACTTAAAAGCATCAAGGTCACTCATTGTCACACTCCTACAGCTCCTATCACGACTAAAAACATAGTTTGGAGGAGTAATGTTAAGGGTTGTGTCATTACTAGTCTGATCTAGTTGTAGGTCCGAGTCACAGACGGACATATTCGTTGCGTCTTGGTTCATTGTACTAGGCTACCATAGATTCAAGGAAGTCGGTGTTCAGTCGGTGTTTTCACAATCATATCTTGGAAACAGCGAAAAATTGTTATTACAGGCTTAAAGTGTTGTATCAGATTAGAAATTTTTTGAATGCTGACTTAAGAATTATGCTTTGTGAAAGTTTAATACTATCAAAACTTAACTATGCTGACACAGTAATAGGCGAATGCATGTTTGGTTACACTAAAAAATTATCCAACGCATCCAAAATTCATGTGCACGCTATTGTTTTACCATTCCACGTAGGGCACATATTACACCTTTTCTAAATGGAAGTAATCTCATAAATATGCAGTCTAGACGATCACTTCATTATACTTGTCTTCTATTTGGTATAATAAGAAACACAAAACCTTCATATTTGTCAAAAAATTAAAATTTTCCAAGTATAGTATAAGTATTAGAACTGCTTCTCTTCTAAGTTGTCCGAGTCATAATACAGCTGCATTTCGTGGGAGTTTTCACTACTCCTGTACGAGGTGCAGGAACAATATCCCTGCACCCTTTAAAGATTGTGCCACGATACGTACTTTAAAATATAAATATAAAGATTATTTAATTAAAATGCAAAAGGACACTTATTTAAACCTGTATGTATACAAATTTATTGTTAGATATGTATTTATCATTCATGTGTAATATACTTATACATGGTATTTGTGTAGATATATGCATGTATATGTCCCTGTGCTTTCATTTTATATTGTGTTGCGTTCCATTTCATTATAGATTATTATTGCCCATTATATATTATCCACAGTTGTACACTCATAAATAAATTTTATTTTTGCGCGTAGCGGGTACCTTTACTTAATATTAGTAGGTATCTGCGGAAGACCAGCATCGAAACATCGTTAGATGCTCCGACATTATGCTGAGTAGATACCTTTTCAGCACCATGGATATTACTTGTGTATGTATAATGTATGTTGTCAAAATGGTCATGGTACTGAATAAATATTTTTTCTTTCTTTCAATAAGATTATGGATACGATTACACTTGGTAATTTACCCCGAATACGAGTGCTGGAAATCGGATAAACGACTAAGTGTGAATGAACGGAAAATACGCCCGTATCCATTTCATTCCAACTAGAACGCGGGTGTAGGGTTGTTTGTCCGTGTTCCAGTACCCGAAAACAATGTAAGCTTCGGATGCCCGAATTCGAGTAATTTCTTTCGTTTACCTGAATACGGGCTAGCGACTAAATTAAATTGCGCCATTAGAATTACCGTTACTCTTAAAGACTACCAGGTACCTAGCTATATATTGTTCAGTCCCCGTAACATGAGCACTGCAATTTACATTATATCACGTTTTTTTATCTTGTTTAACTTTCAAACTCCATAGTAATTTGACAATTGAGCGTGATAAAAACGCGTTAAATATCATATCACGGTGCTCATGCTAGGGGGGCACAAATAACATTATATCACGTTTATTATCGCGTGTAACTGTCAAACTCCATAGAAATCTGACAATTGAGCGTGATAAAATCGCGGTATATGTATATCATATCCGGTGCTGATGCTAGGGGGGCTGGTGACTCCACTGAATTCCATTTTCCGTAATACGAATTGCTATAAATAAATTTTGCAGGGTGTGCATTAGCACATCCCACAAAAATTGTGAAGTTGCTAAAGCTATTTAACACTTACTTATCAGTACTGTGGATTGTGGTTGTTAAGTTTTTTGTAAGTACGACGGTTTCAGATTCTATGCATGCCTACGGTCAAGGCGGACTATACCAGAAGAGAGATAAAGGCGCTTCAAACACCCATAAAAAATATTAAATTATCACCAAAAAAATATAATTATTAATTAATTATACTTTGGGTTACTTTGGGTTTGTATTTGTAATTATAAATTAATAATATTAATTTTAGGTTAGGTTAGTTGGCAGTTGTATTTTTTTGGTAAACATTTATTATTTTTAGAGGGTCATTTTACCGTAACCCATAGAAGAAAAACCCTAAATATAAAACAAGAAGTGCTACAGTCAGTCAGTATGATTCACAAATAAATAAATATATAAAAAACTTTGCTTTTCTGCAATGAGCAACAATCGACCTAACACCGAGCTCCGCAGGGTCCTTCTTCACCACGACAACGCGCCCGCGCACTCTGCGATAAAACGAAGGACTCCCTGGACTCCACACTCCACACCAGTCAGAGTCTTGGGACACCCTCCTTACAGTCCTGATTTGGCTCCGTGTGACTTCTTTTTATTCCTTAAAATAAAAAATAGCTCAAAGGGATATAGTTTTCATCTAGCTAGCAGCGTTTGAGAAGCCCGTGGAAGAGGTGTCTGCGGAGGACTGGAAAAAACTGGTTCAGACGCTTGAAGCTTTGTATAGAGACTGGTGGACAGCTCTTCGAAAAGATTTAATAAAAAAAATTAATAGAAGTTAGTTTTTTAGTTTCTCAAAACAAACAAATATAAAAAAAAGCTTTCCGAGTGTCCCACGAACTTGACTATTTTATAATTCTACTTATTATACTCTCAAGAATTGTCGATACCCATAACTTACTTACATACTTTATTGATCTTGATATATTATTTGAGAGTAAACAGTCATTTTTAAAAATCCTTACTATAATATTATAAAGGAGAAAGTTTGTTTGGATGGATGTATGGATGGATGTTTGTTCCTCTTTCACGCAAAAACTACTAAACGGATTTTAATGAAACTTTACAGTAATGTAGCTTATAGATCAGAATAACACATAGGCTATAATTTATAAAGATATTGTGTGAATTGTCCAAAATATAACGATAAATGTCATTTAAGTCTGAAAAAATTCTGCAATCTGCGAGCTATTCAGGCGTGTAAGGATAAAATTGTCTAAAAAATATCCCGCAACAGCATATGTCTATCTTTTATGGTTGACTCACAATAACACGTGTAATTATATAAATAAAGTCATTCTTTATAGCACAAGCCTGAGAACAAAAAGTATAGTTTACACTACAGCTCTACACCGAAGCGAAGCGAGGGCGGGCCACTAGTTTATTATAAATATAAAACTAGTGAACACTTAAATAGTAAACAGACAGAAATGTATAGATTCGTAATAATAATATTTAAGTATCTAGGTAACTACCTACTTACTATTAACTAATAAGCATACAAAGTTGATACCAGTGGTTAACCATAATTGGTAAGTCACAAGAACGTAGTACATAGGTAGATGAAAAAATATATTTACATAATTGAGCGTTTATTTAAATGCAAAATATCATTAAAATTCAAGGAGTATTTTGTACATTGTCTACCTGAACCCGTATAATTAGGAAAACAGACTAATTTTTTAACCATACATACAGCTACGGAGGTCATACAAATAACAAAAATATTTAACTGTTAAAACCCACAGAACAGTAAATTTCTGTTCTATGTTAAAACCTATTGTTACGAAAGTTTAATAACAATTGAAAATGCTTTGTGAAATCATACTTATATCTACAACCCGACAACCCAGAGCTAATAGTTTTGCCATTCCTTTTTACTTAAATACAAGCCGAGACTCAATTTAAAATTATATTTAGAGCACGTATTGACGTGCTATTAAATACTACGATTTCCGATAGATTATTGAAATTATCGAAATCGTGACAAAACTACTCGTAGTAGAGACTCGTTTTTCAATATGTATAAAAATATATATTTTTAAGTCCAACCCCATTTTATTAATAAATTATGTTTAATTAATATAATTGTTTAATAATTACATAGATTTATGTTTGACGTCGCCCAACACTTTCCTTCTCTGGGCCAACATGTGTGAGAACAGATAGGGGAAGAACGGAATATAAAGGAGCATGTACACAATCAAAAAGTAATAAAAGTTGAATATGTAGTTCCACGAGTTGGGCATGGAGGCCGTAAATAGCTTCTTTTCGTGCACTTCATCTAGAGAGTGGTACATGCACAGCAGCTCCCCGGTTATACCGAGGGGGTACAAAATCAGGAATGTAGAATACCTGAAAATAAAAACTTAGTATCATTTTCAACCACTGATTGTACTTAGGAGATGTATGTACTCTTAAAATCGATTCTTTGCCGTGTCGTGTCTGCACGATCGTTTAACTCGCTCGCTATTTCTTATTTCGAATGTTCTATACTTTTAAAAGTAACTTATTTAACATTGTAATTGACTGCAATGTAAAGAGGTTGCCATGCAGTTTAGGATATAAGTAATAGAAGTAATTTGACGTGTTCATTAAGATCTTGATAGCAAGCAGTTAGTGCATTCGTTCAGATTGTGAAGAACCCTGGTTTGATTCCAGGTCAATACCTTTGTACTTACTTTATTAATTATAATTTTAAATACGTATATAATAAAATTTTCGTGTTCATAAGTATTTATATTTCGTTTTTGTTCAACTATCAGTATACTTACTAAAGGAGAATGCTCATGGATGTATGGACCGCCGTACAATGGTTGCATCAATACCAAACAAATGTTAAATGATCGTTTAATATTCAAATTAGTATGACAAATTGGAATTTTGAAAATAAAAACAGGGGTTTTAATGTTATTGTAAAAAATGTGACATAACCTCAAATCCTTAATAACTCCTATTTAAAGTTGGTTTACAGCTATTTTGGGTACTTTTTTATTCTGTTATTTTTGATCAACTTAGTCTTTCACTGTTTTTCCAACCTACTGCATAGATTTTCATGACAACACAGATTTCAGTGATGGCAGATTTACGTATAGGTAAATAAAAACATTAATAAGACACTTTTTATTAGATTACATATATTAATTGTACACATTATATTTGAATTACCAGTATATTTCAAATCAACATAATCTTCATGGAAAAAATAATCTAAATAAGGCGCCAGCGCAGTAACATCATTGTAACGACCCCAACTTAAAAACTAAACTACAGTCATTATGTGGTCCTAACAGCCCACAGGTTGTTTACCAATGAGACAGCTGCAATAATAACCTTTTATAGCCTCTAATGTGTCTGCCAAAGCAGCATCTCTACTGATAAGTATATATGAGTTATATGTACGCTGCTTAAGTATCCGGATTTAATCCTACCTCTTAATAAATAATTATTTAGACCTAAAACAAGAGGAATATCATCTACAAACAAACAATTTCTAGCTTTTGTCTTACAGCATTCTAATGTAGCTCCAGGATTATTGAAAAGAGTGGGCAATCTTTCGTTGCTATCAGCAGTTCTTAATTTAACTAAATAAATACAAAAGGCTATAGAAGCGTTTGGCACTTGATCTGCTAGATTGGTCATACAGTTGAGCAAATTATAAAACTGTTCAGAGTTCATACCAAGCCAATAATGACATAAATGAGGAGACATAATTGAAATATTAGAAAAATCTAATTTGTAATTGGCTGATCGCTGTATCATAATCATTACATTATCAAACTGTGTGCCAGTAAAATCTCTTAATTAAGATGTTAATTCATTCCATGAACCATAATTCAAATAGTGATGACAAACACATGCACCAGCTGGTATGCACAATTTATTATTATACAATAAGAGATTCCTGATGGTAGATGAAATAAGTAGACATTCAGGCTCTAAACAATTTTTAAAGACACAGTGACCAGGAGAGTTAGCAGCATGTATGATGATGATGATACAATTTTTAGAGTCACTTGTTGAACTGCTTCTAGTCTTGGTTGTGGCAGAGGAGGTGGCACAGGTATAGAACGATTGCCACTTAATGTAGTATCTCCAAGAGTAAGGCGATTTGAATCATGTTGTTGTTGCTTTTGTACTTGTTGAGTTGCTGATCTCCAACATGCAGCACATACATGTTCCATTCTTGAGATCTAAAATATAACATTAATAAGAAATGAATAATTAATATGGAAAATTCCTTTTTGTTTATTTTAAAATAACAGTTTGATAGGTCTCAAGTTAACTCTTGCAAGTTATAAAAGTAAAATATGATGTCTACAAATCAATGTAGGAATTTCTGTATTCTCTCATCATCTATTAGCTGTCTAGTGATAACAAAACAAATAAAAGAAAATCTAAATGTTACCATGATTACTATAAACATTTTAGTTCTAGATTTGTAATTATGTATGATATGCAATAATAATACACAGTAATAATAGTTTTCTCATAAGATTGTGATAGTAAATGATTCCTAACCTAAGTATCTAGAACTGTCATTACTTTTTTAAGAAGTCAAACAAAATAGTTAATATATATTTCATACAGTTAGTTGCACATGACATTAGACAAACAATATTAGCTCACCTGAGTAGGAATTATCCATGACTATACTATGTTGAGGGCTAAACTGTTCTTCTACAAAAAAATATCAAGTATCACCTCTTGGGCCCTGGAAATACAGTTTTACAATACACTGGTTTAACCAGTCAAATAGTCTAATCGTCATCGATTCCTCATTTGAAGTAGAATACATTTTTAATGTTCATAATGCGTGAGTAGAGAACACTACAAACACACATACGGTAAATAAACGTCCTGTCGTGAATGCACTGTTTTTTTCCTGAAAACGTCTTGCCTGTCTTAACAATTCAGAAACAAAATCGTTTGATACGTTCACACGTAAGTAATCATTATCACTTCACAATTTATGTAAAAAACTCAATCAACACAAAAATAGGAGTAACAACAAAACATTTGACAATTCCCCACTCATTTGCATTTGCAATAGGGTTATAGGGTAGGGTGATGATGATCTGACATTGAATATACGAATAATCGTTGAATTGAAAAAAAAATGATTTTGTTTAAAATCGATTTTACGCAATGAATAAATCAAATCAGATACAAATAAATCCAGATTCAATTAATTAATAAACAGCATAGAAATAAATATAATTACTAGTTACTACTTAGTTAATGATGAAATCGACAGTTAGGTGAGCGCCTTCTATAAAAACAACGATTAATGATTTCCGCGGAATTAACCTTCTTTAACATTATTAATACGTGTCGATTTTTTAAACTTAGATTCGAATACCCCGGCTACACGTTCCGTCTTACCTAAGAGCATGCCTGCACAGATTAACTAGCCTCTCTTTGTCGTCCGTCCCTCTCTAACTTAGATACTTTTATGGACGTAGAACAGGACGCGGCACAAGCCAATGTACAATTATTGTATTTTGCGTTATAAGGCCTTTAGACTACGTAGGCAAGACAAAGCGCTGGGTAAGCACGTGACTCTTTTTGTCCGACTACCTACATGCTCGACATTTTATCATTTTCATCTCTATGCTTAACACGTTACATTCAGTAAGTAGACACTACATACAGCAAGGGACGTGATAGGAAAGTGTCGAATTAAGCCAAGCGACGGATTACTGAAAGCGACGTATTAAGCATAGAGACGAAATAGATAAATGACGATTTGTCATCGCAAAGTTAAGACAATAAAAACGTAATATCACTATTAAACAATAATTAGTAACACGTGATTTATTTGGTTTTTGATGGTCCACTCATCGGTAACAAAAACAACAATCGATTATAATGTATAACTAATAGGGTACTATGGCATCACTATTTTTACGATAAATAAACAAACGTCAGATATCCGGCTCAAAATATAAACAGTACTATAACTAATATTATTTCTAAAATTATTCCCTGTTCAAAATAGCCATTCTGATAGACCATCGTACGTATAAATTAAAGAAAATAATTATCATAATAATTTTATCTTGAGGCATGAGACAAAGCTGTACCAAATATGGGCATTCTCCTTTTACATTATATCAGAAAACTTTGACTACGGGTTTTAACAAGTTGAATGGCAGCTGAATGGACGCGCAATCTCAACTACATAAAGTAAACAATTATTTTTCTTGTTCCTGTACTTATTTATTACATTCTACACATTTACAAATTTTCCAGCAAAGATATTTTTTTCTTAAGTAAATACGTGGTACCATATTTCTGATAATTTTAATTTTATTTTAGGCCAGCATACATTCATATCATGATTACTTGCATAGGTACTTATTAAGTGTTAGTATCGACATGTGTACAATTTAACTACTTACATAAGTTAGACGTTCCATCTAAGTGTTAGCAAATACGTATGAGAATATATACTAATTATGTCAAATTTAACATTCCATTTCATATTTAGTTCATTAATTCATGCAAATTAAATTTCCGCAAAAACGTCAATGTTTGTGGGGTGGCGTTTATCAAATGGAGTCCGTAGTAGGATTAGCGGATGATCACAGTGACGGACCAGGCGAGCACGCAGAGCATCAAGCCACGCCTCCTTTTGTCGCTATCAGTATTCCGAACACTAAGAACACACGCGAATACACCCTGAAACCTTACTCACCAATAAACACATAGCCTGGTCGCGGCGGGCTGCCACAATTCCTCTCTAGTGCCTAAGGTTGAAATTAAAATTACCTCAAAAACGTCAAAGTTTGCGGGGTGCTGTTGACTAAGTTGAGTCCGTAGTACGAGTAACGGATGATCTCAGTGATGGACCAGGCGAGAACGCACAGCGGCAGTCCCGGGCTGGCGGCGCCGCCGTGGGTCGTCATTAGTATTCCGAACACGAGGAACACACGCGAGTACACTTGCATCACCACCACCATCAGCCCCGACGACACCAACCCGAGTAGCGAATGCAATATCTGGAAATCACACTCTGTGTAGCAGTTATTCTTAAACTCCGCACTTAGGTACGTCACGGATATGGTTACTATCGATCATCGTCCAGATTTATCCTGAAGAGTCCGGATTTTTATACTTATGCACAATGCGCGGATTTTGACCGGTTTCCATATTTGCACGGCTTTTAACGAGTTAGTATTTACAAAATGAAAAGTTCATAAGAAATGCCTAATTAGTATTTATTTTACAAAAAATTAACGATAGCTAACACCTGAGGCACAAACACGAATTTCAGCTCAGTAATCTTATCGCATACTGAAATTTTATAAGAAAACTAAGCAGCGACGTAAGTTAAGACTAGTTTTTTCCATACAAAATTGACTATGACATGCTCGGCCTCTGACCACTATCAGAATTTTAAAAATTCCACCGACCCCTATGAAGCAGCACATGTTTTATGGGATGGTAACCCCATCGATACAGAATACCCATATAAAAATAAATAAATTAAAATATACGAGAAATATATAAAATAGCAGGTTTGATTGGGGTCCCGCACCACTGACCGACTCCCTGGGTTGAGATTTCCATGACTTTTTTCTCCCAAAATGGTGTCGCAGTCTACTCGCGATATTGAGAGCCATCAACCACGCCTGGTTGGATATGATTTTAACGCCACAACCATACAGATTAGGTGATGATCCATGTCCCATTAGGGTCGTCTGATTTGTTCTACAATCTCCTTTGCGTGTCTCATACACTCAATAGGTAATGATTCTGGAAAACAGCAGAGTAGGGCAATATAAGTTGGCAAATTGGGATGATTTTCGTGTATAATTTGCGTCCTAACCTACCCGTGGAAGCGGCTCTGCTTTTCCTCCAACAACCTTGACACTTGTGCCGATTGAGTAAGTGACATAGTACTTATGGGGACGGATTTAGTGATTCCAAATATATAAATAAAAACTATAAATAACCGTGGAACTCGCTGCCAGCAGGAATCAGAGACAGTCCAACTGTTGCTACATTTAAAAAACGGTTGAAGGAACACTATCTATCCTCTTGACTCACTGTTTCCGAACTGTATTGCTTCTCCTTTTAACACTTGTATATTTCAATTTAGTATATATGTTTATTAGTATGTCTATGTAGATATATATGTAGGTTTTGTTTATGTAAGTAGTGTATTTTGTTATTTTTATTCAGGAGACACACACTGACGACCTTTTATGTTTTTTCCTTTCGCGGGCCTGCTGGAAGAAATTTTAATATGAAATAAGCAGTGCCCTTGTACAAATTTCTTGTTCCTGTTCTTATCTATTTTATTGTGTGTGTACTAAATTAGTAAATAAATAAATAAATAAATAACCGTCGGTGGCTGCAGCCGCCCTTGGTTTAACAAGGTCAGTGTAGACGCTGCGCGTGCTAAACAGTCGGCATATAAATTATGGAATTAGGCTAAAAATATGTCAGGCTCCGTTATCATAGGGAAAGAAACAAAAAAATGCCGCTTCGAGGTCCCACAAGGAGGCAAGAGAGAGTGAACTTCTGGTCAAACTCTTCGTTTCCTACTTGACTTTGGACGATGGAAGCTATGCCGCTAATAATTCCCTATTGTGGAAGTTCTATGCCAGAAATCCGCATCATCCAGCGGGCGCTTCGGCTAAAACTTATGCAGTTAAACGTTCATAAGCCTGTGAATATCGTTGCACGGCACTGACAAGAGCAACCACCCCAATGTGTAATAGCGTAAACATTTATAATTTTGAGAAATAAAACATAACGTAAACCGTGTGAATTAATTTACATCAGTGTACTTATTTGTCTTACCTCTAATAGAGCGGCTCCTTGGAATATTATGACTGGCCATTTTATTTCATTCCAAAATCCATCCAGTGTACCACGATTTAAAAAGTACACTACTGACACCCATAGAAGATATGTCCACCTGAAATTTTTACGTAAATTCTTGTAATAAAATCTACGTACCGGCGTGACGGCGCGCAAAAAAAATACCTAGATGTTGTAACTGATGAAGTGGATCAAAATATATGTATAAATATCTCTGAGACAAAAGGTTTCCATAAACCAATGTTTCCAAAACTTTATATCGAGAGTAAAGATGGCAGGTGTAACCAGAATGAGTAAAAATTTCACATTTCAACCTAAATTATTAAATTCATCGGTACTCTTCCATTTATTAGTATAATAATGCATTCATCAAAGATTAGGAATAGCTACATGTTTTTTAATGTCACTTTCTTATAAATTATAGTTTTATATGCATTTTAAAATTTGACATATTGAAAAAAATTATATGGTTTGTTTACCTTTTGTCTCAAAAGAAAGTTATAAAGTATAATTTCTTAATTAAATCATTCAAAGAAAAACATTTGACGATACATAATTTCATTAATTATGATGAACATAACACATATTCGTAAATCGTAATAATCTTAGGGACATCAAAATTTGCATTGCTTAGAAAACTACCTATTCGTCATTCTTGTTTGCGATAGCCGCGTCGGCTTGCATTACACACTCAATAGGCCCGTTATAATTTCTATGAAAACCAAGCAGCGACATATAGCTTTTTTCCATACAAAATTTGACGATGATGATACGTTACGGAGCTGTCAAAATTCGTTCTTGAGCCTAAATTGCCCAACGACACCTAAGCTACTTTAGTAAACTGCCATAAAAAAGTTGGTCTGTAAATATATCCAAAAAAATTTACTGTGTATCGTTAATACATGTACGGCCAGTATAGATAAATCAACCTCCAGTAAAAATTTATTTAGGATAATCAGGCAGGTTCCGTTTCTGATTAACAGTTGTTATTATAATCTTCATAATGAAAATATCTTGGCAACAATGCTCTAGTTGGTACCCTTTTACTGGAGTTTGATTAATAAAAATGGCCCCTATAATAGACCCATCTCTTACTGAGTTTGATATTTGAAACTGACCGTAAGTCGTCGACAAAGCCCGACGGCAACAAGTTATCGACATATACATAATAGCATAATATACATTAATATAACTATTAGTCCCGGCCTGGCTGCATCTGCAGTCATTAGGACCCACCATTCGCACTGGGCACATGAGGTGAGTCACCGCCTAATCTCCCAATTCCATCTATACATAAGGCCTGTGCCTAAGCAGTGGGAACATTAATAGGCTGACGATGATGACATATATTATTCTTAATAATGACAGGAAGTATTTTGGGTATCAGATAGGTAAGGTCTCTTCTGGGAGAGAGCGAGAAAAAAACTTAAGACTTGTGATGTTGATTTCTGCTCCACTGCCCTCTTTTACTCTACCTCAGAGAGCAGGGGAAGCAATGAAAGAAAACCAAAAAAATTCAAATAATGCTATAATTATATTTCACCAACTATGGATTCTAATTAATACAGTAGTTCTAAGTTCTAGTTTATATAAATCGCCAAGTTGACATGAAACCTTAAACTATATTTCACTAACCCAACATGTCACAACGAGGCTGAATACAGTAATTTTAATGTTAGAGTTTATACAAATTTCCCCAGTGGGCAAGAAATGTTATACTATATTCTACCAACTTTCACTCTCCTAACTGAGCTGAATATAGTAGTTTTAAAGTGAGAGTTTTTATAAATCACAAGTTAGCATGAATCTTAGAATTATATAGACATCAGACATTCATAACAATCTACCATGTACTTACATAAGTTCTTAAACTATATCTAATGTATTTTTATCCACTCTGCAATGGACTGTCCATTGAGAGACCACAAAGACTAGACTTAATAAGCTATTTAGTGGATTTCAGAGGTTCTACGGCTCGTTTGATCAATATTGGTGATAAACTTAGTTAGTTATGGTTTTCAATGAGTCAACCAGTTATAGAGATATATATATATATATATAGAAAGGGGTAGGTCGGGGTCCAACCTCGCCTGGTGGTACCCGCTCCACGCTCGCCCGGTGTTAGTAATCAAAAATACCTTGTTTAGGATAGGTTCAGCAGTGTATGATCTGTCCGCAGTTACATGAAACCCTAGAGCGGCTTGCAACCTTTATTGGAATGATCTCACGAGTCCCCTCTGGTCCGTGTACAGAGAGGGAATCTCCTTGTTATTCCTCCAGTATTTCTTGAGGAGAGCGTACAAGCCTGAAGTTCACATTGAAAAAAAATGATCAGACATGGGGAAAATACATAGATCATCTACATCTGTATCACTAGCGGGTAGGGTGAGGGATATTCACGGTTAATGTTTACATCTTTTGAATCACTACATCACTGGGGCCCATCCCACCGGGTTGAAGGAAATCAATTTCATGTTCACTAACTTGACAAGAATGATTAGGTATGTTTGATGACAGTAATCACCATATCATGCATAATGCAGTTCAATTAGTGCTAGGAGAATAGATATGAGGTCAGATGATAGCTTACCGTTCGAAATATAAAACTATCCGTAAGTATCTGTTCCTATCACAAGTTCTGCCCCGCCTTGCGAGATTCTATAACCGTCCACCTACGACACAGAAGATCAATAAGAAAGGTTATTTTTCATAGCCACAACTTGCAAAATAAGTAGGAGTAATAAGGAGTTACTCAAGATACCTGTGAAACTTTATCAACCCGAATTACAGTTCGGCCAGCGTCTCCGCGCTATTTCCGCCAATATCCTTCAGGATATAAACTTTTCGGATCTATTTCACGACTCCGACGACGCGGTAATGGTCCTCCTTATAAGATACTTTGGGCAGAAGACAAAATTCGAATTACTTTTCCGAAAACAGAATGTGAAATTTTTAAATGTTGTTTTGGCAACCGAGCATAGATGATAGACCGCCCACTCCCAAATATGTGTCTATGATTTGTTTCTCTCTCCAACTGAAGGCAAAGGCCACAGTCAAACAGACAGCCGCCGCATTCGAGATGAAACAACGAATCAACTCAAAACTATATAACTATGCTCGCCGTAAGCGGAGGAAAAGAGAGTACCCGCCTAAAACAGCGAGGAAGTTCAATTTCGAGTAAAATTCAAAATCGATTAAAAACAACGCCCGATGGAGAACTCAAATCGATATGGGAAAAATTATTCAAAATTCAACAACTGTCAAACTCCGTCCATTCATCGACACGCACCAACAGAGATTCACTGACTTATTACTTTTTTTTTTTATAAGTGTCAAGTCGAATAAAAGAAAGCAACTATTCCCTCAATGCTACCAACCCAATCAATGAAGTTTGACAGCTACGCCGACGTCAGCGGTTCGCTATCATAGACAAAACAGCTGTCCTACGTGTGTCAGTTATTTAAGTGTCAGTGTCACGCCCTGTTTAAAAACAAACACTACAGACTGTATGACAAAAATATAGCAATAAAGCAAAATTAGAAACGTATTGTAATTATAATAATTATGTGGCTGTTTTACCAGAGTGCTTTTAAACCAACAATCTACATAAGCAAATACTTTATATTTTCAGAAACAAATACGTCAAAATGTTAAGAATAAGTTCATAAATTAATTCTGATTAGTAAATCGAAGAAATAAAACAGCTAAGTAGTAATCATTACTTGTAATTTATTATGTGCATTTTATACAAACCAGAGACCTTAAGATTAATTATGCACATCCATTATGGCTAAAGCACCAACTTTAATCAGTAGCTACAATTAGAATAATTTAAAATGTATTATATAGTATGGGAATAAAGTAGGATTTTTAAATAATTGAGATTAAAACAAAGGTTGTGGGATTTAATAAATAAATAAAAAACCAAGACACACCAAATTAGCCTAGCCCCAAAGTAAGCACTGTAGGCTTGCGTTATGGGATACTAGGGTAACGGAGAAAATACATATACTGACTGATACATACAGTGGTAGTCACATAATTAAAGACACCGCCTAATTAACCACAAAAAACTTACTTATGGTACTAACATTAGCTAATATTTGTTTTTAATCCAGTTTAATTGTTATTAAACCATACACTACGTTGTATTCTTACAATGTGGGACAATAAATAGTTGTTTTCGTTAGTAGCGACACTGCTCATTATGGGAACGTAACACAAACTTTTTTAACGTATTTATAGCTGGCCAGCTAATTAAAGACACTAGATTTGCTTAGAAGAAATAGAAAAAAATACTGTTATTATTGAAATTATCTTTATTAAACCACAATTTTCCTAACACATTTAGAAAACTTTCCGGTACGTATCAATATTTCGTCGCATGTCCTTTGGCAGAAATGACAGCACGACATCTCTTGGGTATGGAAGCGATATTTTTTTTACAAGCTTCCACCGGAATTTGCTTCCAAGCTTCTCGAAAAGCTGTGTAAAGTTGATCGATGTTTGATGTCCATTTTGTCGCAACTGTTTTCTTCACCTGGTACCACAAGTTTTCTATTGGGTTTAAATCAGGACTGTACGGGAGCCAATCCAAAACTGTCACAGACTGGTTCCTTAAAAAGACTTTTATTACTTTTGCAGTGTGTTTCGGATTATTATCCTGTTGGAAAGTCCAAATGACCGGTAAATTTTGCTCGGCATAGGGCAGCATGGCTAGTTCTAAAATATTCTTGCACGGAAATTTATTCATGTTGCCTTTTATTTTCCTGACAGGTCCAACACCAAGTCCTGAGAAACAGCCCCAAGCTTTGATCTTTCCGCCCCTATGTTTAACTACTTTCTTGGTATACTTTGAATCCATTTCTTTGTTCGGGGGGCGTCTAACATATTGTTTTCCGTCAGAATTAATCATATTAATTTTTGTTTCATCAGAGAAAAGCCCATGTTTCACATATTGTACATATTTTTTAACAAATCTTGCCTTAACATTTTGCTTTTTCAAAAGTGGCACTTTCCGTGACACTCCTCCGTACAAGTTTGCCTCAACAACTCAACTCCGAACGTATCAGTTCTGATCCCTTGAACGGATCTTTTTTTGCCAACAACACCTTCTTGGAGTCTTCCTACAGAGTAGTTTTTCTTGGTCTCGGTTTTCTTGGTATGTTTTCGGTCGTGTTGAACTTCTTGAAATGTTTTATAGCATTCATAACCATGTCCATAGAACAGTTCAAGTTATTTGCTATTTTTCTGTATGAACAATGTTTATTATGAAAGTTGAAAATAATCTTCCTAGTGGACGAATCGCAACTCTTGTTTTTCCCATATTGCTGGGTTAAAAACGTATTAATTTTAATTAAAAAATTAGGTTTTATATGTAGTAATATCGACGTTTCATGAAAATACGCGTCAAACGCGCGTTAGCTGGCCAGCTACAAGTACGTTAAAAAAGTTTGTGTTATGTTCCCATAGTGAGCAGTGTCTAAACTACTCACGAACACAACTATTTTTTGTCCCACATTGTATGAATACAACGTCGTGTATAGTTTAATAACAATTACACTAGAATAAATACCAATTTCAGCTAATTTTAGTACCATAAGTAAGTTTTTTGTGGTCAGTTAGGAAGTGTCTTTAATTATGTGACCACCAATGTATCTAAGTATACTAGCTGACCCAGCGAACTTCGTACCGCCATAAAAATAGGGTCAGGTGGTATGTAGTAGAGAAAATTAAGGGTTGCATGTTTTTTTAATACATTATAAAAAAATAAATATTGACCAAAAAAAAATTTTGGGGTGTGTAACGTAGTGTTCTATCAATTTCCTGGGATAACATTCCTCCTAACCCATATGAGAACACTACGTTACAATACCCAAGTTTGGATTTTGGCGCGAAGGCGCATTGTAGGTTTCAGAACATTACGTTACAGGTGGACAACCATTATCACATATGGATATGAAAAATAGATAATAGCCGATTCTCAGGACCAACCATATATGCATATAAAATTTCATAAAAATCGGTCAGGCCATTTCGGAGGAGTATGGTAACTAACATTGTGACACGAGAATTTTATATATAAGATTTATATAGAAATACATATTAATCATCCATGACTGGAGTACAGTTACTCGCATTCATCACACAAGCATCTGCCTTCACCACAAGCATCCCCACCGGGACTAGAACCCGGGACCTCTCGAGCAGGCGACACCTTGACACCTGGCGTACAAACCACTCGGCCACGGAGGTTGTCGTCATTTATGTACACCTTTATGAATGTAAGTAATTTACGTACGCCTTTATGAAAATCCATTTTTTGTTCTTTCAATTTTACATTCAAAGTTCTAGAAGGATTGTAAAATTATTTTAAAACATTTTATGAAAGTGTTATTTATGCAAGTAGGTTATCACATAACTTTTGGTGTATATTAATTTCTAATGAAGCATGAGGCATTTAAATTCCATTATGTTTTATCAATACAAAATATCATAATTATAAAACAGAAGGTTTTGTCATTTAAAAAACAACGAAATTAAATACCCTAGATACACCACGTGCGCTCAAAATGTATCCCAATAAGAAGTGCTTGAACACCACCACAGAGATCCTTGGAAAAACCCGTGCATAATAGTAGGTAAACTGTCGTTTTTTGGACAGGTATCTAATCAATGTTAGTTAATTTAACATCATCATCATCATCAGCCTATTAAAGTCCCCACTGCTGGAGCACAGACCTTCCCTATGGATGGAATAGAGAGATTGGGCCATGACCCACCACGCGGGCCCAGTGCGGATTGGCGGGTGCTAACGACTGCAGATGCAGCCGGGACCAACGGCTTAACTTGCCTTCCGAAGCACGGAGGAACTCGAGATAGAAGATTTTTGGTCACCTATCCAATGACCGACCGCTGCGAAAGTTGCTTAACTTCAACGATCGCAGCCGAAAGCGCTAACCACCCGCGCCATCGAGCTAACACTTATCATTATATTGTTATCTAATGCTATATTATTAACAGCGCATTCAGAATTGCACGTAGAGTCAAATAAATAAAGTCTATATTCTTCCACATATAGCAATAAGTCGTAAAATTTTACGATCTTGCATTTCGAACTATCATAACTCTTTGGCGCATACGTTTTAATTTAGACCTTATACAATATGCATTTAAAGTGACTTTCAATGTTTCAATAATGCCTTATATTGTTTATAGCGATCATCTTACGGAGCTCCGTGGATCATCCAATGTATCTTTTGGACATGTTTCGGACACGATTTTCTTCGTGCTGTTGTATCTAGGTATTAAATTTTAATATCGTTGATCTAGTGCAGGGGGGGTCTCCAAACTTTGAAGCCTTAGGGCCATAATATTTTTTCAGTTTGTTCCAAAGGTCAAAACAATTTTATTTAGGCTTTTTTGCATTTCAATTACTATTGATTTTGTATTCAGTATATAGTGGACACGTATCTAGTGGTGAGTAGTGATACTATGCAGGTACCATTTATTTCTGCTACCCATTAACAGGTGGCATATTTGGGAATTTCCGCATTGGTTCGAGAAAGTTCTGTTTCTGAATAGTTTTATCGATCACTTCTAGATGGCAGTAATTGCATAAGTATAAAAAGGCTAGCGGCGGCATTGCGAATCAGTTTGCGTAGGAAAGGCGAAGGAAGCGAAACTGCCTATTGTGAATTAAAGTAACACCCGTGCATAAGTAAGAGTATTTTGATTAGACTTGTTTTATGTGTGATTTATTAGTATGGAAAAGAAGTGAAAAATAGACAGTGAATTCAGAACGTTCCAAGATAAATGGAACTTTCAGTATTATGTGATTTTAATAATAAGGCGCTATGCTATATCTTAGTTGTAATGAAACCATAGCTGTTCTCAAAGAATATAATATTAAACGTCACTATGAATCAAAACATCTTCAAAATTACTCTAAATATACAGGAAATTTGCGAAAATTTGAAGTTTTGAAGCGCGGACTGAAATCGCAGCAATCTTTGTTTACCAAAGCAAACACTGAGCAAGAGTCTGCAACTCGCGCCAGCTTTCGTGTGGCTCTTGAAATTGCAAAACATAGAAAACCATTCACCGATGGAAAAATGATAAAAGACTGCTTGATTGCAGTAGCTGAAGAAATATGCCCCGAAAAGGTAAATTTATTGAAAGGTGTCAGTTTGTCAGGACGCACCGTGACTCGGAGGGTGCAAGACATCGCAAAAAATATAACATCTTAACTGCCTGACAAAAATGGACATCAACGGATGTATCATACTGCTCAGGTGTTGATTTTTATTCGTGGAGTAGATAAAAGTTATGATGTATAATGTGTATGAAGAACTTCTTGATATTAATAGTATTCACGACACGACAACTGGGACAGATATTTTTAAAGGAGTTGAAACTACCATTAATAAAAAGAACCTTCGATGGAAAAACTTGAAATCTATCACCACCGATGGAGGAAAGAATAAAGGAATGGTGGCACTTGTGTCAAAAGCAGGGGCGGACCTAGGGCGGTGCGAGCGGTGCGACCGCACCGGGCGCCGTCATATGGGGGGCGCCGAAAACGGCCGAACGCCCGACTAGGTACCGATCGACCTGCGCGGAAGCAAATCGTATTGTTGTCCGGCGAGTAGCGACGAGCGACGAACGGGTAGGCGGTGAGGGGAACGGGTTAATTGGCTTATTTGGAAGTAAAGTTCGAAATACAATTTTGACTATGATTAAGTCATCCAAATACTTTTCTATCATACTGGACTGCACTCCTGATGTAAGCCACGTTGAACAATTATCAATAACTTTCCGTTTTGTTGACACTACTGGCGAAGAAGTGAAAGTACGAGAGTGTTTCGTTGCTTACAAGCCGTTAAGTGACTCTTCAGAAGAAGGGCACACTAGCCTTTTTCTTGATGAAATTGTGAGTGAAGTTGACTTGGATATGAACGATTGTCGAAGTCAAGGGTACGATAATGGCGTTAACATGGTAAGAATAAACAAAGGTGTCCAAACCAGAATTCTGAACCAACGTTCTCGAGCATTTTTTAACCCTGCCACAGCTTGAATTTGGTGGTAGCAGATGCAACTAAATCATCCGTTAAATTGGTCTCTTTATTTGGATTTCTCCAAAGACTATTTGTATTATTTTCTAGAGCAACAAAGAGGTGGGAAGTCATATTCAAACACATAGAAGGACTATCACAGATAAAAGTTTGCGAAACTCGCTGGGAGAGTAGAGTTTATAGCCTTGCTTCTGTTCGCTACAGTTACTGTTCAGTTCGTGATACTCTTTTGAATCTTCACGAAGAAACGAATGATTCAGTTGCTGCATCAGAGGCTTCGTCACTGATTCAGAATATGGAGCAATTTGAATTCTTAGTTACATTGGTAGCTTGATATGATATACTGTTTCAAGTAAACATTGTAAGTAAAGCTATGCAGTATGAAATTATGGATTTATCGAATGCATCGCAATTGCTGAAAAACTACTCGGAATTTGTGAAGCAATACCGGACTTATTCGTCTGCTCAAATAACAGCTAAGGAAATAGCTTCTGAGGCTGGTATAGATCCCACGTTTAAGCCAGTCCGATCCCGGAGAAAGAAGCGATTATTTGAGTATGAAGCTGCAGATGAAACACCAACAGATCCCGAAGAACTGTTTAAAATTAACGTCTTTTACCCTATGATAGATACAATTGAAAATGCATTGGTCAATCGGTTTGGACAATTATCCAAATTCAATGATACCTAGATAACACTTAAAATGTAGAAAGTTGCCAAACCTTTTGTTGTTTTTCGAAGTAATCTCCGTTCCTCTCTACACATCATCGCATTCGATGGAACCACTGGGAAAAGCAGTGGGCCCATTCTTCCTTAGGAGTCTCTTCTATGGCATTTTCGTAAGCTTTCACCGCATCTTCAGGGCTCGTAAAGCGAATACCTCGAATTTTATCTTTAGTTCTTGGGAATAAATGAAAGTCGCACGGCGCCAGGTCAGGACTTTATGGCGGATGACTCATTATCTCGACACCTGCCATAGTCAAATATTCAACAGTCCGTTTTGCGGAGTGCGCTGAAGCATTGTCATGGTGAAGGAGGATCCTGCTTCGAGGGCGCGGTCGATTTTTTTCCAAGACAACGGGCAAACAGCGATTGACATACCAGTCTGCAGTAACTGTCCTTCCATCTTCTAGCACAACTGTCGCGAAATGACCTTTCCGACCAAAGAATGAGGCAATCATCTTTTTTCCTTGACTCCTTCCTTTCTTTACCTTAGTTGGCCGATCCCTGAAAGAAAGCACCCACTGAGCTGATTGTCTTTTGGTTTCGGATTCGTAGCAATATATCCAGCTTTCATCACCTGTAACGATGTCAAATACAGCATTTGAGGCACCGCCGTTGAACTTATCTAACATTTGGCGACACCAGTCCATGCGAAGGTGTTTCTGGTCGTCGGTTAAAGTATGGGGAATCCATCTGGTACAAAGCTTCCTGACGCCAACTTTCGTGTAATATTTATTGAACTTGACTCATACCTAGCCTTGCCTAGGCTTGCCCGTATCTGCTGATAGGTCACTCTCTTATCTTCCTCTATCATGCGTCGTACAGCACTGATGTTATCTTCAGTAGTCGCTGTTAAAAGACGTCCCTCAAGTGGATCGTCATTGAGATAGCTACGTCCACGCTCAAAGTCGTTAAACCAATTGTAAATAGTGGCACGAGATAGGGCTTCATTAAGAAATGCTAATCGCAGCCTATCATAGCTTTGTTGTTGAGTAAGCACACAACGAAAATCATAATAAATCATTGACCGAAAATCTCGCGTTTGGTTCATTTTCACGTGTAACAAGAGTTTTAGATTTGCCGCCAATTCACAAAAACAAATTAATGCAATATACTACCTTAAGTTGCCAGAGAGTTCTAAAATTGAAATTCAAAAAAAGTTTTCATTAGCAATGTTTCTAACTGGACAGTTCTAAACTTTTTCAGTGTTACCCACGTACATAGTATTTTTTTATAACATCAAAATAATTCCTGATGTCTTTATTAGAAAAAGCCTGTGCAGATTTGCAAATGATTTTAACCGATGGGGAAAAATGTGATGTGTCTAGTTGCGAATTGGTTGAAGAACTTTTGTGCCTGAACCCATTTTTAAAAACCTTGAATCAGCAGAGCTAATAAAAGTCCTTCAACATTTAAAAAAAAATGATTGACAGGATATTTTCCCGAATATGTGGACAGTGCTTCGGATTTTGCTGACCTGAAATTAAAACTAATTATAACGTAATTACCTTCGACAATGTGTCGAGAAAGACTGTCAGATCTTGCAATTCTATCAATAGAAAATGACATTGCCCAAGGATTAACTTATTCCGGTTCAATAAGAAAATTCGCAAGCGCAAAGGCAAGAAAAGTGATTTTCTAGTTTTTAAGAGTTTTTAATTAAATAAATATGTATAGTCAAACTAATATGTTTCCTTTATTCTCTTCTCATCAAAAAAATTTACACGGAATAAAGAACATAAATGTAAAATTAAACATGTATGTTATTTTTTTCGTGTCTATGTAAACTGGGGCGCCACCATAAGATCTCGCACCACCGAAAAGTTTAGCTAAGACCGCCCCTGGTCAAAGGCGTAGAAAATGATGACGGTTCAAAAACATTTAGTCTTACACTGTATCATTCATCAACAGTGTTTGTGCGGACAATGTTTGGATTTGTCTGTAGTTCTAAAACCAGTCATATCACTTGTTAACTTCATTGGATCCACAGGACTGAATCAACGACAATTCCGCGAGTTTATTGAAGAGATTGGAGAAAATGACTTGCCATATCATTTTGCCGTACGCTGGCTTAGTTGCGGAAAAGTCCTTTTTTGAACTTCGAGCAGAGATCGATTTTTTTTTAATGAGAAGCATCGATCTTTAACTTGGTTATATATACCTGCAGCTACTTTACAATTGATATGTTTTTTTTAAATGATGTCCGGAATATTTCCTATATTTATTCTACATATTCCAAGAAATCATTACTAGGTACTACTTAAAAAGTTTGTAAATTATCCTTACTATAGTGAAGGTATCTACTTAATTCAATCAAATATTCACAATACAAATCGCACGTTTAAGCACGGCTTATTAAAAAACAATTCACACCGTTCGGTCGTCCCTGCGGCGCATTCGCGACTGGATGCCCACCGAGTGTCGCGCGAACTCGAGTGGCGTAGGTATGACACGCTTTCCGACCGTTTGTATGAAGATAGAATACTGTATAATGCGATTCAAATAAGCATAGGAAAGCCAATGACCTCTATCTGTCAAATGTCGCTTGAAAAGTACGGTGTGCAAAAAAATCCTGGAATCCTTTTTTAACACTCTGCTAACTCACGAATAAAAACCAAACATTTGTAAACAAACAATAACAGATATTGATAATTAATATCGGTTGATATTTTTTTTTCACTTATTGAGCTTTGGCCATGAATGGTTGATAACCTAAATCGTCAACCAAATGTCACTTTCAGTTGCGTTCAGAAACTAGATTTTAAACTTTAGTTTATCATAACATAACATGCATCCTGCATGTTCGTATGTCACCTAGTAATAGTGCATGATTATTCATAACTACTCCGGCGGTAATGCATAGATGAGTGGAATAGAAGAGCTAGATTCTGATTAATGTTTTTTCTCACAGTCTTAATAAATAAATATTATTAAAAATTGGTGTTATTTTTTCTCAATCTTAGTAAATAAATGTTATTTAAAAAAATCCGATGATTTTTCTCACTTAATCTTAGTAAATAAGTTTTATTAAATAAAAACTTTTTTTGCTCACTCTACCTATTTGGTTTGAATTGACAGCTATGACATCACAATATGGCGCCCAGTCGGTCCTATTCTTAGTTGAATCGCATTATATAAATATTATTACCGTGATAATAACTAGACAAATGAATTTTTTACAGATGGTATATTTATATTGTCCCTATAACATCAAATACTAAAAATAGAACAAAATAATTAAAGTTATAAAATTGCTCCCACCCAGTAAACATTTTATTTTTAATATTTAGCTGCATATTTGCTTTAAAAATAAATAATTAAAATAAAATGATTATTTTTGTGACATGTGTAACATGTTTTTTGCAGTTTTTGCTTGATATTATAATAAAGTGTCTAATGTTATATAGATAATGGTAACTTGCACTTGGGCAGTTTTTAAAAACTTTTCTCTTTGAAACTGAAACAATTCTTTACATTTCTTCAGTATTATCTCGGTGCTAGTAGTTTACACCTCGATAAAACTGCAAATAGAATGGCATTTATTAATTTATTGTGTTGTTGTTTAGTGTTTATTATTTAGGTTTAAGGTTGTGCATAATGTTGTTGATGCATTTATTATAGGCGATTATTTTTTATATTGGCTGAAATTGAAACTGAAAGCCTGCAAAGTGCGTGTTGTGCCACGCGCGGTGTAGGGTTAAGTAGTTGCCAGCCATTACCACAATATATTTCAGAAGAGTACAAGCAATTACTTAATGTAATGGAAAACTTTTTCAAAACTGTGGTTTTTGGTAAGTTTACTAT